CAAGACCGTTTCAGGCTGGACACAAGGAAGAACTTCTTTACTGTCCAAGCCCCCAAGGTCTGGAACAGCCTGCCATCGGAGGTGGTTCAAGCACCTACATTGAACACCTTCAAGAGCAAATTGGATGCTTATCTTGCTGGGATCCTATGACCCCAGCTGACTTCCTGCCCTTTGGGCAGGGGGCTGGACTCGATGATCTTCCGAGGTCCCTTCCAGCCCTAATGTCTATGAAATCTATGAAATTTTGAGGGGTGTCCCGAGTCTAATGAGGGGCATCTCAAGTGTAAAAAAGTTGAGAAATACTGGTTTAGTGGTAGCAAAAGGGAGACGTGCCCAGCCCAGCCTGAGAAACTCAAACCCATTTCTCCCAAGAGAATATTCTAACCAGCTGTTCTGGACAAGGGGCACTCTCCACTTCAGCTGCTGAAGCTCCGCCACTTAATGAAAAGATGCAACAATCACTAACCCAGAAAGAGAGCAAACATGACTAACCCTGCAATTAACACACTCATGAGGGACAGGAGGGTCCTAGCTTCTAATCCATGTTTTCTGGGTAAGAACTTTACTACAAGCACAAACACACTCAAAAATAACTGCTAGCAAAAGCTGAATTCATAAAAATTCAGCAGTAACAGTCTAAATGTTTAACTCTTTGGTTTCATAAAGCAAATTTTTCAGAACCAGAAGCAAAATGAAAGAGAAGAAAAAAAGTAGAATCCATGTTAATACATCAAAATTCCATTTCCCAGCAGAAGGAACTTACATGACTTTTGACATAAGGCTCTTTATCCAAATTCCTACCTGGTTGTCATGGGTATGACTTGGTAGGTTTTTATCTGCATATTCCTTTGGCTACAGGAAGCATCTTGGGAAAGGATAATATTCATAACATCAAAGAGCTGCTCTATGCGCTGGTCCTGACGGAGATCTTCACCACCTTTGACAAGGAAGGGATACTCCCGTTCATCACTGCCTCGGATGATTATACGCTTTGGTTTCCTCAGGGACTCCATTACTTTGATCTTGGAAGGAGACAAAAAGCAAACCACTATGGCACAGGAGCAACATACACAATTGTATCATCGTGGTTACTGCTTAGAACTGCAGGACTCTTGCATTCTGGGGAAGCCTGATCATACTGCTGTTGCACCACCAGATTGCTTTAGCTTCACAAATTAAAGCAGAGTTTCATGTGGAAACTAATCATCAATGTATATGAAATAACATTATGACAGTCCTTTAATCAATCAGATAAAATCTCTGTTCACTGTCAAATACATCCTCAGCAACTTCTTCCCTGTACCAGGTAGCTCACACCCAAAACACTATGCTGAACCATAATTTTGCACTAGAAACCAAAGGGATTTTGGCCTCAAACTTGTTTACGTACTCGTTCATCAAATCCTGATATTTTTGCATGGTATTCTGGCAATGGTTTCCCTTTACCATCATACTGACCTGGGGAAGGGAGGGAAAAGAAAGAAAAAATAAAACAAATCATTTTCATTTAAATAGAGTCTCTAAACAGAGTATATTTAATGATAGACTATTTTGCCAAATATTATGCCATATTAAAGTTAACAGTATATTGTGCTTTAAACTTGATATTTAAGCAAAATAATAGTATGCTATTTTCTGCTTTTTACATATAAGCATTCTTTTTCAGCTGTTATATTTGGAAGCCTTATTAATTATGGAGGACAGACCTTATTCAGACTGGAATGCAAATGCATTTCATAGATTTTTATTGCAAAACTGCTGGGATCAAGAAACTACATAAAAGTTAAAACTTAAAAAAAAGACATTTAAAGATCACAGTAAAAGCTACGGGATAACTAGCCGGAAACCAGAATCATGGTAGCTTGAGATTATCAAGTCAGTCTCCCTGTGAAGGCAGGATATAGCACCCTAAGAGAGAAAATAAATACCAAAAGGATAGGACACTTTTAGCTAAGAGGAACAGAACTGCATACAGGTTTCCTTCACTTTATGCTGTACCCGTGTTCCTGGAAAACAGCGCATAACTCAAATTTGCATAAAGGGAACCCGTTTTACAATGTAACAAATAGGGATACATTCGAAGATCTCAACTGTACTGACACCCAGACTCATTTCTACCACTTTTACAAGACAATTTTGGTACTCACCGACAGCAGACAGTACACACAAGCACAGGGCACTACCACAATGGGGATGGCAAGTACAAAAACACGTGGTGCAGACAATAAGCAAGGAGCACAGAGCCACAGAGGAGATTATATTTTGGTGCGTGTCACTCCCACAGTGCACTGCACAAAGTGGCTGACTGCTGGCTTCCACCACACCAGTTGCATAAGAGTGAATTCACCTTGCATATAATGAATTTTTGGTATAAAAAAGGTTATTGCATAAGAGCGAATTTGCATATACAGAACCTGCATAAAGTGAGGGAAACCTGTAGTAAGTACTTCTATACGAGAGCTCACCACCCTTAGTGCTGTAGAGAGAACATACCAGGGATCTCCAGTTCATTCCTCCGGAATTCAGCTTTAAACTCGCTCAACCAAGGTGAATATTCTTTCAGATTTCCAGGTTCTTTCTGGCCATCTCTCATTTTTGCAAGAAGAGCATTTACAATCTTGTAGAATTCATTGTCCTTCATATCTAACAGTTTTGAACCTCCTTTCCCAAACTGAGTGTCAAACTCCTTCCCATAAGCCTGAAGTTGATTTACAAATAGGAGTCACTGTTATTTGTATTATTGCAGTGCCTAGAAGCCTTCATGGACTAGGCACTGGTATGCTAGGCAATTGGCAAAAAACACACAGTAAAAAGATGGTGCCTCTTTCAGAAAGTTTATCAGCTAATTAGAAATTCTCTTCACACCAGCAAGATCACACTGTACAGCAGAACCATTTTTATGCTAAAATGTAGCATGGAAACAACATTTTACTACAGGGGTCTATAAAGGACTGTGTCCATGTATAAATGGTGTGTCCATGTAGTAGGAGACAAAATTTCCACTGCCCTTACAGAGCATCAGCTCTACCCCCTGATCAGCGCACATTTATTGCATCACAGATACCTACAACTGCAGCATGACTTTCCATGTGCGTGCATGCATGCACACTCACCTCTGAACTAATTAGTCTTTGATCCCCATTTTTCCCCTCTATTGATTTGGTTTCTGTAATTCTTTTTCCTGTTACATGGAATGCAACAACCCACATGGCTTCTTTTTCTTTACTCCTCTCTACTGACACCACCACTTGATATCAGCAAGGACATCCACAACTTTGCCCGCTACCTACCCAAAGATATCAATAAACTACTTATTCCTGAGAAGTAAGAGCGAATCAGAAATGTTATGCTTTCTCATTTGAAGATATCAGCTACCTTCTTCCTTCTCAACCTTTTACAATAGATATATTGTTACACAAGGACAATTCAACTATTTATAAAACTGAGAGGGTGTACTCTAAATTGCCCTCAAGAATTTAGATGCAACTGAAAAGCAAAATAATACTTACACCTGTAAAACAGCCCCATAAGCAGGATAATTTTGGAATGAATTCTAATTGAGATAAATCAATTACTAAAGTGTAGGACAGTAATCGCAGTGCCTCAATTGATGTACCTAGCTTCATCTATCATCATCACAAATTAAAATTGCAGCATCTGAGTTCACTCACTCTTATATAACTCAATGTGTAATAGTTTCAAGTAATTGTTTTAATGCGTCTTAGCTAGAGCTATTTGCAAATGTTTTGAAGTTTTATAAAAGTAACTTTCCCCTTTGGTTAAATTGCTAATCTTAGATGTTTTCAGGCAACAAACTGACTGACTTTCCCTCCCTCATGAGGGCAGTGATCTCAGACAGATTAATATCTTTCACTGAATTACTAACAATGGCAGGTTTTGTCATAAGGATTAGTGATCATCAGATATCAATCAGCATGCATAAAACTTTGATATATTTAATATATTTTCAACTTGTTTTGCACTTGTACTTTATATTTATTTTCCTCATGAAAGGATGATTCTCGCTAATAATCATTAAAGCATGTTAACTAGCAATTAAATGTAACTCTTTACATTAAGTCTGGTACTACTACTTTTTTTTTTTTTTTTTTTTTTACTAGCTAGCAAAAGGATGACAGGTACTATTCACATGTTTAAGAAGTTATCTAGCCTAACATGCAGTACATGTATTTATTCAAATTATTTTTGATTGAAATATTTTAGATCATAGCAAATGACATTTTTATTTACCATGAGTATTTTTTCATTCATTATTTACATGGAAAAATGCAGACAGCAAGCAATTTAAGATTTTTACTAACTGATTAAAATACATTAACTGTGCTGGATACATAAGTAAAGTTTATCAAATCAGGTTTTGCACTTAAAAATGAATTGATTTATTCAACAAAAAAAGTCTCACCTACAGTTAGTTATTTGAACTGACTGATCAACCTGTCCTTCAGTATTTTAAAACTAGTATACTTCAGCCTGTTATGCTTTGTTTTAATTTGTAGATTGGATTACTTGAAAACCAGCCTTCCTGATTTTAACTCCCAATTTCCTTCAGATTCTCAAGTTTATTAAACGGAACTAAAATGAATAAAGACAATCATTCTCTTTGACCTTGCAGAAGAGACGCCAGCTGTCAAAAGGTGGTTCATTCATTTCAGACCCTGATTATAAGTGTTCAGCTAGTTGCTGCCTCCAGTTCAATGCTTCCAATTAAAAAAATACCAACAAAATGCAACATATGAATATTATTTTTCATTTAATTTTGATGATTGATAAATAAGTCTAGAGCTTAATATGAATTGTCAGTTTCATGTTTAATTTAAACACCTTCTCTTTTCAAATAAGCCTGTTTAAAAACATGGATTTTACATTTAAATCAACATTTTGTTTAAAGATCTATTTTATCCACCCTGACAAGATGAGAGGTCAGTATACGATACAGCAATTTTTGCAAATACTACATTATAACAGGCAGATGTCTCATGTTGAATTCTGGAATCATAGCAGTTGCCCATAACAACTTGCTTTATTCTTATCATAGACCTGCTTTGTAGACAAGTATAATTACAGGTTTTAGTTCTTAGGAGTTTACAGTGTAAGTGATCATTTATATAAAATGTGAGAGAGGACTTGGCTTAGTTACTAATTGCTGTTTCCACAGCTACTAAAAAATTAATCTTCAAGTTCCCACCAGAATTAAAGTGGCTCTTTAAAAGCACAGTGCTGAAAATCAGTATATCCAACATTAAACGGAATATAAACACAGAGGGTTTTTTCCTCTCCTTTACACTAACAAATCATGAGGGTCAATCAGATGTTTCAGAACATGCTAGTTCAGCAAACTCGAACCTCTAAGAGGTATCAAAGCAAATCACTTGAAATAACCTTAACTCTACCCCTCCCTCACCTGGTAACAGCCACTGGGAATGTCCTGAATGGGCTGTGCAAGCTGAGATGCAGAGTGCCATGGGGACTGCCAATCATTGTGGGAAATGAGAGCAGTCTGGTAATTGAAAGTATAAGTAAAAGGCATCCTGTATCTTAGAGTACAGGGGCTGGAGATTTTGCCACGTGGTGGTGTTTTTATGCAGTAAAAGTAATAATTTGTAGGGCAAACATAGGTATCATGTACAGCCCAGAGCACGAATCTGTGCTACTGGCATCACCCAAAAGCAGATGAGTTAAGGCGGAGTTAGCATTTACTTTAATTCAATTTCCCTGGTTTTCAGAGACTGAGCTTTGCGGAACTTGACATCCCAGTAGGGCCCAAAATATTATCTGACAAGATAAACTCCAGTGAAATTCCCAGGTCAAGTGATCTTGTACACAATTAGAGCTAATATTTTAATTTGATCTAAGATACTGCTGTGGCTCACAAAGTAGCCAATGTTAAGTGATTCTTTAAGTGTCCTGCCCTGTTCTGTATATCTTGCGATATCTGAACGGTGTTAAGTTGTATTTTGAAATGTTTCTAGAGAGTGTGGTAGCCGAAGGTGGCAGAGAATTTACAGAATTTAATGCCCTGAAATTTTAGTTTTATTCCACAATTGTCACAGTAATTTGAAGCATATGAAAGGAACACTGATGTATCCCTTCTCCCCATCTCCCTCAAGAACTAGTCCCTAGCCACTCTCTCCTTCCCACCCCATTACGATAATTAGCCTATAATAGAAACTATAAAAAGTTATTCCTTGTTGTTTGGCACCTTCTGTGGCTGCATTCTTATATCACAAGGAGCAGTTTACTAGATTTACAACACATCCTTGGCTATGTAGCCCATGCTCTAAACCAGGCCTTGTCCCTCCCAGATGCCTCCCAGACAGCAGAAGCAATTAGCCTATGCCAAGTTTTCTGCTGCTGCAGCTTATAATTTCATAGTTGGTAGGTTCGGAAGGGACCCGAGCAGATCAAGTCCGACCCCTGCCATGGGCAGGAAAGAATGCTGGGGTCAAATGACCCCGGCTAGGTGACTGTCTAGCCTCCTTCTGAAGACCCCCAGGGTAGGAGTGAGCACCACTTCCCTTGGAAGTTGGTTCCAGATCCTAGCTGCCGTGACTGTGAAGTTAGCGCCTCCTGATATCTAACCTGAACCTACTCTCAGCCAACTTGTGGCTGTTATTCGTAGTTACTCCCAGTAGTGTTTGGGGGGAAAGGGACTCTCCTGTTTCCCTTCTGGTCCCCCCTCAAGTTTATAGACAGCCACTAGATCCCCCCCTCAGCCTTCTCTTGTGGAGGCTGAACAGGTTCAGGTCCCGTAGCCTCCCCTCATAGGGCCTGCCCTGCTGTCCCCATATCATGTGAGTGGCCCTCCTCTGGACCCTCTCCATGCTGTCCACATCCCTCCTGAAGTGCGGTGCCCAGAACTGGACGCAGTACTCCAACTGTGGCCTGACCAGTGTCACATAGAGGGGGCGGATCACCTCCTCGGACCTGCTCGTGATGCATCTGTGGATGCATGACAAGATGCGGTTAGCCTTACTGATCGCATCCTCACATTGGTGGCCCATGTTCATCTGGGAATCAATAGCGACTCCAAGATCCTTTTCTGTCTCTGTCCTGATTAGAAGGGAGTTCTCCAGCCTGTAGGTATGCTGCTGGTTCTTCCTCCCCAGGTGCAGCACCTTGCACTTGTCAGTGTTGAATCCCATCCTGTTCTCATCCACCCACCCCTGCAACCTGTCCAGATCTAGTTGTAGCCTGTCCCTCCCTTCTAGCATGCCCACCTCTCCCCACATCTTAGTGTCATCTGCAAATTTGCATAAGGTGCTTTTCACCCCCTCGTCCAAGTCACTGATGAAGATGTTGAACAGTGCGGGCCTGAGGACCCCACTGCCCCATCCCTCCAGGTTGAAAATGACCCGTCCACCACCACTCTCTAGGAGCAGCCCTCCAGTCAATTTGCCACCCATCTCACTGTGTAGGCATCGTCGCCTAATTTTTTTAATGAAAATCGGGTGAGAGACAGTGTTGAAGGCCTTCCTAAAGTCAAGAAAAACTGCATCCACTGCAACAGCTGTGTCTAAGGATTTTGTGACCTGGTCATAGAAGGCCACCAAGTTGGTCTGACAGGACCTGCCCCTAATGAACCCATGTTGGTTGCCCCTAAGCATAATCTCCCCTGCTGGCCCCTCGCAGATTATCCAGATGCACCTGGATAATTTTCTCAAAGAGCATCCCCAGGACCAAGGTAAGACTAATGGGCCTATAGTTTCCCAGGTCCTCCTTCCTCCCCTTTTTGAAAATGGGGACCACACTGGCCCTTTTCCAGTCCTCTGGTACCTCACCAGAGCACCATGAGCGCTTGTAAAGCCGTGCCAGGGGTCCCGCAATGACCTCTGCCAATTCCCTCAGCACCCTGGGGTGGAGATCATCTGGACCTGCTGATATAAACACATCCAGCCCCACCAGAAGTTCCCTGACTAGGTCCTCACTGACCCTAAGCCTGGCTGTGCCTCTCCTGAGTCCATGGGGTGGATGTCCTGCAGGGGCCCCATGTTACCTGGTGCCTTCTTTTTACTCCCTATGCATTTAAAAAAGGACCTCCTGTTATCTTTGATCTGGGTCGCTAGTCCTAGTTCTGTGTCCACCTTTATCCTTCCTAACAGCCCCTCCCCCCCCACAGTCTCGAGCAATGGAGGTATAATCCTCCTTGGTGATGGCCCCTCCCTTCCACCGGGTGTACACCTTCTTTTTAGCTTTCAGACGTTCCTGAATGCCTTTGGTGAGCCACGGGGGCTTTTGGGCACTCTTGCCCCCTTTGATTCACATTGGGACTGTAACCCCTTGGGCTCGGAGGACCATCTCCTTAAGGAACGACCACTCATCTTGGACTCCCAACTCCCCTACCCTCCGGGACCTCAGTGCCTCGCCAACTAATCTCGTTAACTCATTGAAATCGGCCCTCCTTGGACACCCTGCACTGGATGGTGAATGATGATTGCTAATTGCCCAGGTGGTCAAGAACTTAACTTGGATGTCTCTACAGCACTTAATCTAAGGTACCTAGGTAGAAGAAAGTCAAGCTCCACACGACTGCATAAATAGAAAGCCCTGGGTGTAAACAGATGCAAATGCATTCACATATAAAATGCGAAGGAAGTAGAAGCAGGGACGACTGAACAAATGCACGTATAATTCTCAATGGGCACACACTGCTTTGTGGACAAGTCAGGAAGTGGCAATCAAACTGCACGCAGTCCAAACACACCACATCTGCAGTATAATTAAAGGACCGGTCCTGCACACTTCACTCAATCATTCATCTGATTAGGGCTGTATGATCAGACAAGATTCTATCATCTAGTCCACTCGTTTTCCTTTTCAATTTTTCAGGAGCCTCCTCCCCCCTCCCAAAACACATCAATACTATTCAATGTCACTGAGTTGAGATTTTAGATGTACCTGAATAAATCTCCTTCTGAACAATCCAAGACCTGAAGCCTGCAAGTTTCCTAGGTTCCCATACATTACTTCATACATTTCTTTAAGCTTGGCCTTATTTTTCTGAGCTTTTCCCAACTCATTTCTCACAGCATCAACCCAATCCTGCAAATACAGAAAAAAGCAAGTAAATGTGAAAGACAATGTTTTTCGGATTCTCTCCGGTAAATCAAATCAGATACCTTAGACTTATTATATTTGCTATTGATGTGACTTAGTAAATACAAAGGTCTTGGAGATTTGTAAGCAATTCGAGAGCCACAGGAGTGATTTTTTTTTTTTAAATAAATGCTGCTCCTTCTACTCCAGGGGCGGGCAATTATTTTGGGCGGAGAGCCGCTTACCCAGTTTTGGCAGGCTGTTGAGGGCTGCATGAGTAGCCCCGCCCCTTGACAGGTGCCCTGCCCCCTGGACACCATCTTGGGACAAATGTCCCAATCAGTGTCTTGGGACCAATGGGCCAGCACTGGTGGGGCCCAAAGCAGGACACAGGCTGGCAGGGGTCTGTGGAGCCAGACTGGGCTGCACCAGCAAGGAGAGGGGGGAGCTGGCCCAGTTCCATAAAGCCCCCGCTGGCTGGGACCCCGCGCTCGTGCCACCCTGCTCTGGGCCCCACCAGCATTGGCCCCGGGACACCGGTGTGGGGCCCATGTTCCCACTGGCTCCCGTGCCCACTTGCACCCACTGCCCCCCAGCCCCACAGTACAGGTGGGGGGCAGCGCACAGCCCCAACCCCTGCTCACCGAGAAGGAAGAAGCTGATGCTGAGTGCGGGGAAAAGTGGCCCCTCGTCTGCCCCGTGCCCAGCGCCTCGCGCTGCAGCTGCTCGCAGCCCATGAGGGGCTGCCTGTGCCTGCTCCTGACAGCCCCGCGTGGGCTGCGAGCAGCTGCAGCATGGGGCAGTGGCCACTGGGCAGGGGAGGGCTGCTTTCCTCGACACTGAGAAAGAGCCCGGGGAAAAGCGGCCCCTCCCCTGCCCCGCGGCTGGTGCTCCCTGCTGCAGCCGCTCGCAGCCTGCACGGGCCTATCCGGAGCAGGCACAGGCAGCCCCAGGCAGGCTGCAAGCAGCTGCAGCGTGGGGCATCAGGCATAGGGATGGGCATGGGGCTGCTTCCCCACTGGCCCCCACACTCAGATTTTTCCCAGGCCACTTTTCCCTGGGCTCCTCCCCTGTCCGGGGTCCTCCCCTGCCCTTCCCCCTTACCTGAGGTTCCAGCGCTGCTGGGGCAGCCATGTGCTCCCAGGCCAGAAGCCTCTGCTGGGGCTTCTGGCTGTGGGGAGCAGGGTTGGGCGGGCCCTGCTGTGGTGGGAGCCCGCCGGGCTTCCCCTGGGTCCTACTGCCCTTGGTTCCTATCATTTTTTACAGGAACCAAGGGCAGATAAACATTAATTTTCTAAATTTCTTAGGGGCCCTGTGGGCTGCAGCCCATGGCCATATTTTGCCCACCTCTGTCCTACTCCCTCATTTGTCAGGTTACTGCAGTAGCAATTATGCATCAACCTAGGTCCTGGCCCATTGGGCCAGATATGCAAATATAAAGTGAGAGTCCCTGCCCAAAAGAATTTACAGTCTAAAAGGGTAAGGAAAGGTGCATAAAAACAGAGGCAATGTAAACAATGATTATGCCAGTGTTTCACCCTATGTTATGCTTTGCCACTTAGATCCTTTCAATGAAGTAGCATCTTTCCTGGTTCAAGTTAAATCACAAACCCCCATCATCCCAGCATGCTTTCCAGCCCTGGGCTGTGCTGTGTTGCCTGTGACAGAGAGCAGAGCTAGCCCTAGCCCTCTCCTCCCTAGCTGAAGCAGTGAGGGCTGGCTGACAAGGGCATGGGGGAGGCAAGCCCATCTGGAGATGCAGCCCAGTCTGCAAGGCGGGGGGAGAGGGAAACATTCCCCCCCAGCAAACCTCTGCTGGGGTCTGGGGCTAGGGAGGTTAAACACCCCTTCCCCTGCTCAAACTTACTGCTGGCTGCAACTGCAGGCTACAAATTCTAGAGGCACGTGGAAGCAGGAAGAGGAAGTGCTGAGAAACCCTGCAGAGTCCTGCTGTTATAAGTCTGGACCGCAAATCTTACAGGCCTTGGGAGCAGCAGAAGAGAAAGTGAACACAGCTCTAGCACCCTCCCGCTTGTGGCCTGAGCCACTGCAGGCACGTGGCTGCATTTCCTGAATCAAAGGTAAATGTATGTTCACTTCTGTTTCAATTTAATTTGTGCAGCTTAGACTAACCTGCAAAGACTGCATCAATTCAGCCTCAGGCTTTTTGACCGTCTGTACCTAGCCTAGAAGATTAGCTAGACTGGCTAAGACAAAGGAAGGAAAGGGTGTTGGCTAGAAACTGAAGGAGAAAACTATAGGAGCTGGTGCAAACTGCCAACAGAACATGATTCTGTTATACCTTGAAGAGCATCTCAGGGTTTGAAAGCTGTTCCAGAGCCTGAACAAAATCTTGAATCACTCCTCCTCTGTCCAATTTACTTTTTATCCTGCAAAGAAAATCAACAGAACAGTCCCACAAAAAAACTGCCATCAGCATATTCTCAGTCAAGTGGTCCAGATCCTCTCCTACACAAGGTTTGGACAAACAGTATTCTACACAACTCATGGACAGATAGAAATACTTTCACACAGGGCTGCTTAGTAGCAGCAGTGGGATGGAGCACTGCGTGGCTGCTAAAGCACTAAGTTGCCCAATTCTCTGCATTGCTTGCTTTTGCTTGGTATTTGCCAAGTGTCTGCTATGAAAATAGCAGCTCAAAATTGCTGGGGAGGGAAAAGAGGTCTGGGGGGTGGGAGTAACACTTTTTGTACTGAAAACTCAGGAAAAACATGGTTTTGCTCCCATCACCGTAGCTGCTTCCAAACGTTAAAAAACCCCACAAAAAAGAAATGCTTTACTGGAAAGAGCAGTGTGTTACTTCAGCCAGGCTCTGCAGCATCTATAAAGATTGGGTGCTTCAATCAGCTATTAGATAAAAGCACCAAAAAGCCAGGTTGAAGCAACACACTGCCGTTCTGGGCACGTGCTGGGCTCAGTGTGGGAATGCATCAAGTTTAAAAGTAAAGCAGTTTTCTGGCGGGGGTTTACATCTGAAAGCACCTGGTGGTTAGGTGCAGTAACATGGGCTACCCCAGACCATCTAGCTTGAGAGGACTGATTGTACATCTACTCTTTACTAGAGTAAATTTACTATGGCATAAAATCTGGCTTAAAATTATTCTGTTGCATATCTGCGCCTCTAGACTATCAACTCTGTCTCACTCTAGAATTTTACCATATTGCCCCATTTGCAAGTCAACTTTGCTTAGAAGTCAACCTCCTGTTTTCAGGAACATTTTAGAATCCCCCTCCTTGCCCCCCATATTTGCCAATAACTTAAGTCCCTGCACTGCAAAAACACACAGGAGAATCAAATAAGCGAAGAAAGGATCCAGAGAGTTAAATGCACTAAAATTAAAATATCCTCTGTGCCAGAGAAATTCTGCCTATGGTTCACCATATTTCAAAAATGTTTAGCTCAATGGAAGCTGCAAGGTTAAATAGAGTGAAAGACCTGTGTTAAAAGCCAGATTTGAACTGCAGTCCTGGATTCAAATTTCATAGGACAAATAGAGTGAAAAATAATACAATTAGTCCTGGTTTCAGAAGTTTGAATGCCAAATTTTCCTAATTATTTGAGAGAGACAGTGAATGGGAAAGCGGCGTTTGTTTCCATTGCTGTTGTGCACATACTCAGCTCACATTTGACTTTAAAAACATGACCAAAATACCTTCAGGTAATTTGGGTTCTGGAAGAACATAACATGCTGTCTTTTAGAATATTTTAAGTTCAGCCATTTTTTTTTTTAGTTTAGTATTAGAAATTTTCAGGATCACTTGTCTTTTCCAAATAACAAAAGATGTCCAAAGGCACCCACACTTTTGAAGTGTATCCAACTACATAGTTTCCTACCTTTGTGGCTCTAGTGGTGACCAGTCCCAGAGTTGGGAACACAACACTTATTACTTCCTGTAGCAGAGCCAGGGGTCTAAAAGTCTGAATCTGACACCACAGTCTTCACACTTCTGCACTTCTACCCAGCCTGCCTCCCACTCCAATAGAACAGACCACGGAGATAACTTATTTCACAGTGTTTAGTTTGACCCCAGTTTAAAAATTAGGGAAGTTAGGATTTTCATTGGCACCACGTATAAATTGGAGCTGGGCTCGGCATTTGGCTGGTTTGGTCCCATCTCCTGTGAGCAGTGCTGCATGGGCCACGCCAGCTGAGCACCAAGCCCAACACCGTCTGCTGCAAGCAGCAGTGCTGAGCACTGAGCCCAGCCCCGTCCCCTGCAAGCGGCACCAGGCTCGCAGAGGATGGAGCCACACCAGCTAAGCCTGGCCTTGTCTGCTGTGTGCAGGGCTGCCAAGCGCTGAGCCTGGCTCTGCCAGCCAAATGCTGAGCCGGGCACCACTTGCAGGGACAAGGCCCGGGCTGGGGCCAGGTTCGGCTGACGCGGTCCAGACAGTGCTGCTCGCAAGGTCCCCTGTGAGTGGTGCTGGGCTCGGTGCTCGGCTGGTGCATCCCCATCCCATCCCATCCCATCCCCTGCAAGCAGTGCTACATGGGCTGTGCCAGCTGAGTGCTGAGCCCAGTGCCACTTGCAAGGGTTGGTAATACAGTGTATAAGTCAAGGTTGAATTTTAAGAGTTAAAAATTGGGCTTCAAACCTCAACTTATATATCGTGAAATACAGTAGATCCCCAGGAACCAGAGCACTTCCCAAGCAACCACCACAACAGGGCAGATGACTATGTATGGCACTCTTAAGAGCCAGCCAACACAAGGTCATCTGCTCCAACATGGTGGTAGTGGAGCAGATAACCCTGTGCAGCACACTTAAGGGCAGAGGAGTACATGACTGCATAATGTTGGTCCTCAAGGGTGCCACACAGAGTGACCTACCCCAAACATTAATGCCATATCATTCCAATCATAGGTCAACATTGTATATAAGCCAACTGTCATTTTGATGGTTCTTTCTGATGGAAAAAGGTCAACTTACAATGAAAAGATCTGTTACATCTGAAACTACATATAACAGATCTGTAGTAGTTTCAGCTATCTGAAACAACATATTGTTGAGAGCAGGTAAAAGGCAAATGCATTTTTTTTGTTTTATTTTTTTCAAGAAGCATGATAGATCAAGAATGGTAGATGCTCTGCACCTCTAAAATAAATTGAGCCATTTATTGTTACTTTTATATTAAAATGCACTATCACAATAAGTGCCAAATATGATAGCACATGCAGGTGCTTAAGCTTAGACATTACTAAAGTTGGCCTACTTACCAGTTTTTCTATGCTTTCCCTGTAACTAAGCACAGTACATACTATGTTGTTTGCACAGTATAACTTTCTGTAAAAAAAAAAAAAAAAAAAAAAA